CCGGCGACGACACGACATTCACTTTGAGACGCGTCGACCGGGAGAATGCCAGAGATGCGGTTGTCAATGCTCGTGATCTTCCCGCTGAGAGCGACAGTGAAAATCCATATGAGTCTGAATCCGAAGAGAGCGACGACGAGGAGGACCGCCTCGAAAGGGAGCTCGACCACATGTACAACCAGTACACCGGCCGCATGGAGGACAAAGATTCGAAATTGCGTGCTAAGAAGACACGCAAGCAATACGAAGTTGACGAGTGGGAGGGCTTCTCTGACAGAGAGAAAGGCAGCAGTGACGAGGAGGAGGAAGAGGAGGATTCGGATGACGAAATTACCACCGCGAATCAAACACTTGAAGCTAAGAAGCTCTCAAACAACGCCTCCATGTTCTTCGATCAAGATATCTTCGAGGGGCTAGAAGGGGGTGAGGAAGAGGAAGAAGAGGAACAGGTACAGGAGGTGGAGGAGGAAGAGGAAGAAAGCGACAACATCTTTGTGATGGATGAGGATGAGGAAGAGGAGAAGACTCCTGCCGCCAAAGAAAAGAACAAGAAGGACGCAAAGAAGAACGGAAAGAAGAGCCACAATGACTGGGTCACTGAGTCCGACGAGAGCGAGGCAGAAGATACAGAAGCAAAAGATAAAGATCCGCTAAAAGCGAATGGCCAGCTGGGTAAGTTGCAGTCGATGCCCAACACGAATGATGCCCTGACTAACATGTGTTTCTCCCCTGCAGACATCGACATCATTACCGCAGAGGCCATGGCCCTTGCGCAGTCAATGGCTACTGGAGAAAAGAGGTCGACTGACATTGTTGACGATGGCTTCAACCGATTTGCCTTCCGCGACGTGGACGGTCTTCCCGAATGGTTCCTCGACGATGAGGGCAAGCACAGCAGGCCTGTCCGGCCCATCACCAAGGCCGCCGCGGACGCTATCAGAGAAAAGATGCGTGCCATCAATGCACGCCCGATCAAGAAGGTGATGGAGGCCCAGGGACGCAAGAAGTACAAGGCCGCTCAAAGACTTGAGAAACTGCGCAAGAAGTCAGCCCTTCTGGCAGAGGACGATGCTCTCAGCGAGCGGGATAAGGCCGGCGCCATCGCCAGACTGATGAGCAGGGCAACCAAGAAGAAGCCCAAGCAGGAAGTCAAGCTTGTGGTGGCCAAGGGTCCTAATCGTGGTATCTCTGGTCGTCCTAAGGGTGTCAAGGGCAAGTACAAGATTGTCGATGCTCGTATGAAGAAGGATGTTCGTGCAGAGAAGAGACTGGCAAAGAAGAAGGCCGGGAAATAGAGGGTGTTCATAGTTTGAATCAGACAATTTACATAGCAAAAATAATTATGATACCCCAGGGTTCATTCTTTCACAAGTACGATCTCAAAATATATTTCAAACTTTCCAACTTTCATTTGATGTAAGTGTAGATGTAGATGTAGACATAAACATCCATGACGCTGTAAAGAAAAGCGCCGAGAAATGCCAAGGAACGCGGGATCGCGTGGTTTCCCCGAGTGGCGCCTTAATCGATAAGCCCTTTTCTTTTCTTTTCTTTCTCCCACTTCATCCCATCTTACTTGCATTATACTTATATTCTTTGAATCGTTCTTATTGCATACCTTACATAAATTATTTTCTTTCTGTATTAGTTGTTTATATCTATCCCTATCCATATGGGCTTTTTCGACCACCTTCAGAAAGGAGGGGCCGGGGCCTTCTCTCTACAGCCAAAGAAGGCGCAAATTCGCAAGGTCGTGCAGACTCGACCTGCAGCTCCTACACGCTCGGTCACACAACCCTCGGAAACTCGATCACCTCGAGTCCAGTCCTCGACGGAGCGGAACCGGAAGGCGCAGGCATTAAAATCTCGATCGGTCTCCAGTGACCTGGACGCACGCTCGGCAAAACGACTGGGTACTCCCTCGCGCATTCGGAAACGGCCGACACCCGAACAACGACTCTCGAGCGACGATGACGCAAGCGACAGCGAGGCCTCTTTTGAGGTGCACAAGCGTGCGAGGACCAGCGCCAGCGCTGAACCTGACCCGAATCGGCGTCTCCGCTCGGTGAAAGCGTTTTCGGAAGAAGGATCTCGCCCGTTTAAAATGATACATGCTGCGGATATAACGTCGGGCAAGAAGGCCGGCAAATTCAAGCCCGCCTTCGGCGCTGAGGGCAAGCCAAAAGAGATTCTCCTGCAATACCCCAGTGCATCGCAGCAGGAGAGGTACGTTGTTTGATTGTGCCATTGATTTTTAGGTGCTAGTGTGCTAATTTATTGCTTGTCCAGATATGACTCTGTGGTTCCCCGAGAAAATGACGAATTCCGACCTATCGACGACATTGTTCAGGTCATCGAAACGGTCGCCGATAATTACATTCCTACCGAGGAGGCGGATCAGTTTAACGATGAGACGACTGGGATCAAGCGCCGATTGCGCCGGGCTCTAGCTGTAACATCCGAGACCCAATTTCGGGAAGCTGTCGATGATTACAATAAGGCTATTCAGCGGTTAAGGACCAACGGGAGTCTTGCGAAGCATTTGGATGCAAAACAAGGCATTGGTTTACCTTGGGTGGAAAGAATTCTCACTCAAATCTACTCGCGCACGGTATCCCCTCAAGTGGAGTCCCTCCGCCAATACGAGAATGGCACGGACAACGTCTACGGAGAACTTCTACCTCGCTTTGTCAGCACAATTTTCAAAGAAACCAAGCTCAAATCTGGCCAGGTCTTTGTCGATCTTGGTTCGGGCGTAGGTAACGTCGTTCTCCAGGCGGCACTTGAGGTTGGCTGTGAGAGTTGGGGCTGTGAGATGATGTCAAACGCATGTGATTTGGCAGATTTGCAGCAATCGGAATTCAAGGCCCGATGCCGGCTGTGGGGAATTGCGCCAGGCAAAACTCATCTTGTCCGAGGCGACTTCCTTGAGCAGGAGAGTATCACCAGCGTCTTGAAGCGGGCTGATGTGGTGCTCATCAACAACCAGGCTTTCACCCCCAACTGAACAATGAGCTGATCAACCACTTTTTGGATATGAAAGAAGGATGCAAAATTGTCTCACTCAAGTCTTTTGTTCCTGCGGGTCACAAAATCCAGTCTCGCAACCTGAACTCTCCGATCAATCTCCTCAAAGTCCAGCAGAAGAATTACTGGTCGAACAACGTGAGCTGGACTGACGTTGGCGGTACATATTTCATTGCCACTAAAGACAGCTCTCGGCTGAAAGCATTCATTGAGAATACCCCATAGCTTTCAACGGCTGCTTGGTTTGGTATCTTGGCATGGCACATACATTTTTGGTTTTTGGGACTTTTGTACATTACTTCGTCCGTTTTTGGATATACTTTCTTTGTTGAGTTGTTGTATGATACCATTTCCGACAATTTGACCTGTACAAAACGGATAATCTCTACAATTTCAGGCCCTTAAGATGAGACGCTTGGTTTAGCCTCCCTATTCCTCAGTATTCGGAACTATAGTGTATAAACATTGGGCATGTCAGTAGTTGGCACATGACCGAAGATGGATCGGGCCACTACTGAAGGGGCGAGTGCAGGAGCGTATTGGATCCCTGGTGACAGCATTGCCTTGGCAATGCGGCTTATGCAACTCGATGGGTGTACATAGTTATTAGGACTTTGGGGCACTCAAGGAGTTGCAGAGGGACGATGGCGGTCGGGAAGCTGGCTATTTGTATAGCTTTCCAATTATAGGGAAGAATATCGTGAACCGCAGGCTTGTTACAGCAATTGCTGTTCAGGTACTCAGTTGAAGGATCAGCAAGTTTTGATGTGGGCCGCATGATCATGTATCTAGAGCTTTCACATTTCATCTAAGTGGCTAACTATCATGATTCAAGATCTGAATGTGACAGAAGCTATGCTCCAGTCTCTTCTAGTAACCTTGTTCTGTCACCTGCTCGGTGTATTGGGACTAATCAGGAATACTTCGATGCATCGTTCATGGCCTCGGCTTCTTGGCCCATTCTGGCCATCCAACGATCAACCAGGTCTTGGTTCTCATTTTTAAGTCGAGTTGATCGTTCTTCGGCCATGTTAAGCTGAAGGTTTAGTGTCGCCAGTTCATCTTGGAAATCCTGCAGAAATGCACATAACTCATGTTAGCCACTTTCCCTCGCCTACCCCTTGCATGATTGGAAAGCCCATGTAGATATCAAAACAGCCTACCTCTAGCAACTTGGCTTTCCCTTTCAGCTCCGCATCTCTGTCTTGCAATCGTAGCTTTAGATGTGCCCTCTCGTTTTCCAAGGCATTGATTCGTCGACTCTCTTGCGAACTCTTCTTGCGAAGTATTTCCACTTCTGTGGTCACTCGATTCAAGCGGTCTTGTAATTCCGACCGGAATCGCTGTGCCTCGGACAAGTCTGCACGGGTAGTATTGAGAAGATCGATCGGGGTAGAACCTGGCTCCGTCGGTCGTTGCTTTTTGGGTGGTGGAAGTATAGGAGAAGGAACGGTGGGTTGAGCTTCACTCTGCGATGTTGGGGGACTAGCGCATTTTGCTGCTGTTGCTAGTTTGCTGGTGCGATCTGCAAGCTGAGCATCTATATTTGGTAATGATGTCAGTTGCGGTCAACAAAGAGTATCATTGATAGACTGACAGGCATCGTAAAGGGTAGCATTTGCTTTCTCTCGTTGATCTCGGACTGTCAGGGCAGCCAAGTACTCCTCCCTCCAGTGGGCCATAAGCCTTCCCAAGCAAATGGGAATGTACCTGAATGTGATGAAGTGGAGTTGGTTGCCGCCTCGGGAGCGAGATGCGGTGCTAATCGTTATCAATTGCCCACCGCCCGCTCCACCGCCCAGGCCTCATGCATCATCGAATCCAACTGCAACCCGACCCCAACTCCCCAACTGCCTTGTCCTTAACTGTTCTATAAAGGCTTAGTGAAGGCTGCTCATAGCTCTTTGCTTAATAACGAATTTCTTGTTTATCCCTCGCACATTTACATTCGGTCACTTGACCGATTCCCAACCATGGCGTCAAGGAAGAAGGTCCTCCTGAAGGTACAATCTCCGCACCTGCTCCGTGTTATGAGCACCGAATACTTCAAAAAGTGGACTTTTTGCTGACCGGCGCTTTTTTGAACATTTAGGTTATCATCCTTGGTGACAGCGGTGTCGGAAAAACAAGTTTGATGAACCAATATGTCCGTTCAACCTCGCCCCCAACTACCTCTCTGCGGCCGTACCGCGGTCGGTGACGAGTCCCTCCAACCACTAACATACAATTTTCCGAGACGAATAGGTCAACAAGAAGTTCAGTGGAAGCTACAAAGCCACTATCGGAGCTGATTTCCTCACAAAGGAGGTTCTCGTCGACGATCGACTGGTGACAATGCAGGTAAGGCTTTGAAGACCCTAGCGCAATCGTGATGAGGGGCAATAACTGACTTGGTGTCAGATCTGGGATACTGCAGGCCAAGAACGGTTCCAGTCATTGGGAGTCGCCTTCTACCGTGGAGCTGACTGCTGTGTGCTGGTCTACGACGTGAACAACTCCAAGAGTTTTGAGGCTCTCGACAGCTGGCGTGACGAGTTCTTGATCCAGGCAAGCCCGAGAGATCCAGAGAGTTTCCCATTCGTAAGTGTTGTTCCCGCATTCCTTTCCCTTATCTCGTGCGCCGCAGCAGGCAAGAATGATATGTTGGTCCGTGCTGATGGTCATGTGCAGGTTGTGATCGGCAACAAGGTCGATGTAGAGGAGAACAAGCGTATGATCTCCTCAAAACGGGCTATGACCTTCTGTCAGTCGAAGGGTAACATCCCCTACTTCGAGACCAGTGCCAAGGAAGCTATCAACGTTGAGCAAGCGTTTGAAGGTGAGTCAAATTCCATTACCTAGCGGTTTTGTCAAAAACCACTGTTCTTTTTCATGCTTGCTAATCACTGTTTAGTTATCGCACGGAGTGCACTTGCCCAGGAAGAGGCCGAGGAATTCAGCGGTGAATTCAGCGACCCAATCAACATCCATCTAGACAATGACCGTGATGGCTGTGCCTGTTGATATACCCTTCCCATTCACATGATGTTCCAGCGACCTATTTCCTTTTGTCTTTCCTTTTTCCCACTATTTGTTTGGTCTCCGGTTCTAAGTCTGTAGAGGAGACCAAGGGGTTTTGCATTGGGTGACCTTGCCCTTCCCCCGGTGTCTTGTAGATGTCTTGGTTTCAATTGTGGATTCAGTTCTATGCAGGCAGTGTCTTTTTTGGGCTTAATGCAATACCATCTTCATTTTTCTATAATAGGCAATTGGTCGTGTATTATCAAAGTAAATCCAGTACGGAGTAGACCCATTATGTATCATCAGGGCAGATTACCCCTGATGGTGGCCATTAGACATGTGCACATATGTGGCTGGTAATTACTAGTTGTACTCCGTACAATCAATGTAAATAACAGCGGTAAGGGGGCATTGGAGCAAATAGGACTATGTTCGGTGTACATATTTGCTATTTATGTACTCCGTACTCCGTACCTAGAAGCGATCGAACATTAATAGAAGGTGAGTCTGGGCAACCTTTTTATTAGGCTAAAAGTAGTACCCATTAATCAGATGGGAGTCCCCTAACCCCAGCTTTGTTCTTTTCGATCTAAACAATCTTATTGTCTGAAATTTTTAAGTTGCATATCATCTCTGAATACGAAGTAACTAGTATGCCTCGAGTTATGTAAACGTAAGGTTTCTTCTCCAAGGCTGCATCCATACCTACTTATCCTACAAATAAGTACTAAAGAACAGATCCAATGCTCCCAACCCATAGACGGGATTAGATTAAATCCGAGGAAAAATTCATTCGCTAGATAGGGTGTTAGTGAGCCCCTAATATCAAATATCGGCGACTACATTTCTCCCCACCCGAAGACGCTTATCTTGAGAATGCTTGGCATCTAACCCCGTGTTCTCTTCAAGCACTCTTTAGGCAGGAAGTCTCGTGGCACTCATTTGCCCCGCATATATATCGCATTTCAAGGTGACAGTCCGACTGTTATTCCGTCCAACTCGGAATCCTCGGCTGCAAACGTAGCGATTGCGACATCGGGCGACACGAGACTCCTGATAACACCCTGAGAAGCCACGCAAATTTACCCTTTCTCACAAACCTCTCAAACTACAATTATCATGGTCTCGGCCACTTCTGAAGTACCCGGCGCGATGCCGCTAGGGATGGCGCGGCGAACATTAGGAATTATCCTACTCCTAGTGGTGGTTGTGCTATGGACGACGTCGAATTTCCTTGGAAGTGTATGCGCGCCCTCTTTTTTTTGATCCATAACGCAAAAGGCATATAATGTTACGAGCATTTGGCTAATTACACAATGCTATCCAGACTATCTTCGCCGACAGAACCTACCCGAAACCTTTCTTCGTCACTTATACGAATACATCCATGTTTATGATGCCCCTCCTTATAATTGTCGCTCGTCGAACATTCGCTCTTTGGCGCCATGGGAAACTTTCTAAGATCACTTCGGTAAAGAGCTTTTTGAATCATTTGGATTCGCATGACCCCAAGGCTGAGGAGGAGAGCATGCTGCGCAGCGGCTCCGATGAAGAGGGTGGGCGATTCGCGCGGGAGAGACAGGATCCTCCAAGTGGAAAGCTAGGGCTGAAAGCAACGGCTAGACTCAGTGTTCAGTTTTGTCTTCTTTGGGTAAGCAAACAACCTTGAAGTTTGAATATATGACCAGCTGACTAACCTATCATAGTTCACCGTATGTCGTACACCTCATGATATGATATCTTATGTGCTGGAAATGAACTAACAGAAGTATCTCTGGATAGGCAAATTACTTCGCCATGGGATGCCTTCAATTTACATCCGTTGGAAGCACGACTATTCTAACTTCCACGAGTGGTAAGGATCCCCCTATCTAAATATGTCCAAAGTCCAGTTCTCACTCTCACTCGTCTAGGTGTATGGACCATGGTCTTCGGCGCCCTGTTCCGTGTTGAGAAATTCACTATGCGCAAATTCATGGGTGTCATGGCTTCCTTGATTGGCATTATCTTGATTTCGCGCGTAGATCTCTCCGCGCCAGATACAGGTGATGCTGGTGATGGTAGTGAGGGTTCATTCCCCCACAAATCCACAGGGGAGATTGCTCTCGGCGATGCCATGGCCGCGTTCAGCGCCATCATGTACGGTCTTTACACTGTCGTGATGAAGAAACAAGTTGGCGACGAGTCCCGTGTAAACATGCCACTGTTCTTCGGACTAGTTGGATTCTTCAACATCATCCTTCTGTGGCCTGGTTTCTTCATCCTGCACTGGACTGGAATGGAGACCTTCTCCTTACCCGAAACGTCGCGAGTGTGGTTCATCATTCTGGTATGACTCCCAACCCTCTTGTTCACCTTTGATTCTCGACTAACCTCACATCTATCAGTCTAACGCGCTTGCATCATTTGTCTCTGACATTGCTTGGGCTTACGCTATGCTTCTTACCACACCGCTTATCGTGACAGTTGGGCTCAGTATGACTATCCCGCTCTCCCTGATTGGACAGATGGTCCTACAGTCACAATACTCCAGCCCCTTGTACTGGGTTGGAGCAGCTATTGTGGTCTCGTCGTTCTTGGTTGTGCAACACGAGAGCAAGCCCGAGGAAGATCTTGCTACTACTGATGGAGCAGGCAGGTCCTTCTCGGGTGAGTATAACAGCATTCCTGTTGAAGAAGAGGAAATGCGTTAGTTTGAGCTTAGGGGGCTTTTTGTATTTATCGCTACACATTGTAGCTTGTTCACATAACAATTTAGCATCTTCTTCGGCTACCCTTCGCCACCTAGCTGAAGGGCTGGTGGTCCCAATATAGATTATAGAGCCATTCAACAACATTTTCATTCTCGTTGGCTCTACTTTCGCGCATGCATTCCATAGGTTTCGGTTGACTGACTGTCCACATAACCAAACAATGTACTCCTCTATTAAGGATCCTCAAGCATGGAAGGCCCTACTACTGAACGGCGATATTTTGATAATGGCTTTGGTATGTGTATCCACACCAGATTTCCGGCCGCTCCAGGACGTCATATTATCTTTCAACGATGCTGTACTGAGTACTTCAATATGAATGAATCAAACAAACGATAAACATAGAACCAAAGTGCCAACAATACGGCTCAGGTGACGAAAATAATAAGCCTAATGTATCAAAAAATATCTTCTATGGGCATATCCGAGCTACGCTCTGTCTAAACGGCGGCCTCGCACCCGGTTCGGGTGCGAGGCTTTACCTGATCTGGTATTCCATATTGCTGGAATTCACCCATGATTATGGACTTCTTCCCCCTGTAGATACAGAAAAATTTGATAATAAAAACAGGAATAGAATCAAGAAGAAATGGATGGAGCCATCCTGTGATACAACATTGCATCAAGTCGTACGTAGGAATAGGTCATAAAAGTGTTAAGCTGCATCGAAGGCGTTAATCTAGATTCCGCCGGAGTTCAAGATTATTAGCATCCAGGCTGAACTAGGGTTAGTGAAACCATCCCAAGCATGTTAATTACTGCGAATTAACTGGGATTCTGACAAGTTTCTCACGAAATTCATTCGTTGGCGTCATGAATTGCATAACCCTAAGCCGTTGTATGACCAAAGCTATGGTAACAACGTTTTGCCGAATTGAACTCCCAGGTTGTACATGGCAAAGTCGCTTTCACAAATTAAGCCTCTAGAGAATATCTCAAAGAAAGACATATAAACAGAACCACTGAAAATACCAATGAAAAGACCACTGAAAAGACCACTCAAGAGACATCAGGCATAAGCGGCCAACTATTCTTGTATATCATATGAACGGGATAGACAACTGGGAGCACCGCGTCGGGTTCTCTCACTGGAAAGGTTTGAACGTAACTTTTCTCGTCGGTATTATAATTATGCACTAGAGTACTACGGCCCGAAGCAATATGATACATAATAGGTGCTCAATATAGACACTGAAATGGAAGAAGACAGACGACAGACAAGGGAGAATGCCAGACTTGACGGTGAGAAGGATGGATGCACGATGAAGATGCATCGCCTCAAAGAATAAAATCAACAGACAAGTGCGTTGAAGAAATCAAAGGTAGAAAAGAAAGCTGGGTAGCTTCGATGAAAAAAAACTCCCCTTCGCCCACCGAATGTGCACGGAGGTACTAACGCCAATCCGTTCCTTGAAGACTCCGAACTCACCACGAGACGAGTAGTCAAAACGAAATCACCAACCTGGGTATATTGAAAGAAAGGATGGGAAAGGTAAAAAATGAAGAATGAAGGTCGCTGAGATGTAGGGAAGATGAAGCGAAGGGAATAGGGATAAGTAAAGGAATAAAAAAGGCTCAACTCCGCAGAGTGAAGGTCATGATACAGAAGTGCCCATGGCGGGATCCAATCTCCTGCGCGCAGCGAGAATGCTTTTCAATGAACCTAGCCAGCGCGCGAGGGACTCTTCCTCTGGGGCGCAAAGTCGATAGGTCTTTTCTTCGGCGATGATCTGCATGCAAAAGGTCTTGGATCTCGACAAAGGGTCCACTTCTGCGGCATCAAATACCTGAGACATGGGGATGATCTTGATAGCTGCGTACTCCGATTCATCCTTGTAGAAGGCTAGACTCTTGGGTCGAAGCACAACCCAGAGTCGTTTCCATTGGCGCACGGTCCCTTGGATGCGTAGCCCCTGCAGGTACCCCTGACAGATGACCCGCTCTGGGTCACGTAGGATGCCCAGGTCTGACTGTTTGTTTGTGTCTCGGAGTATAGATGCTGACGGCCGGGGTACTGGTTTATCCTCTGTTGGAACGGACAGCGAATGGAGGGAGCGCATAGATCGTAGGCGGCTGTTGCGTGCTGGGGCAGGTCCATCGGAGAACTCTGAAAATGAGGTCATTTCGTTGCCGGAGTAATCTTGGATGTAAGGGAGTCTCTGGGCATTTTTGCTGCGTGGGGATAGTGCATGGCGTGGCTCGGGCGAGCTGGCACGGCCAGTATGATCGAAGTCGGAGGGATCGGTTGTC